TACCGGGTTGTTCAGCTCCACCAAAAGAATCCAAGAATTGGCGTAATCCAGCTCGATTCTGCAAAAAATATTTTTTTTAAAAATGATGAAATTTTAGGAAAAAGAAAAGCAAAAAGTGGAAAAATCTTCATGTAACCTTATTGTGAAGGGACCAGGTGACATAACGGGTGGTGCTTAGTAAATCCTCCATGCATCTGTAAAAAGCTGAAGAAACTTAAAAAGCCATATAAAGCAAATAAGATGAAATAATAAATTTGAGGTGATTTTGTTACTTTTCATGGCATGATCTTTCGGTGGATTCAGCAAAGTTATTAAAAGCAGATGAAACACGCCTCAAGAAAACTTCATGGCCACTTAGGAATTCGCCCTCTTTCTGTTCCAACCATTTGAAGGGTAGTTAGGTCAAAAGACTTTTAGCCCCATTTTGTTACATGTGACATGACATGACAGAACACGTTGTACTGTGATCGATGTCAATGGGACAAGGACTTGTTCTTGATCTCTCGTTTGTGCAAAAGACGAAAATGCCCTTCTCATAAAAATATCAACAGAGCCCATACCTGAAGAAGATAAACGGAGATGGGAAGTAATCTCTTCAGAATGTGAAGAAGTCGACTGCCCAACTGTATCCAAAATGAGAATCTTAGTAAAACATATATATATATATATATATATATATATATATATATATATATATATATATATATATACTTTTTGACTTGACATTTAATGGGATTAGAAAAAGAAAGAAAGAGGGGCGTAGAGAAGTAATGAGGAGAAAAAAGGGATTTGTTGTACCTGATGAAGAAAAGGTTCAAAAGTATCACGAGCTTTTGCAACAGCGATGACACATGCAGTCCTGGAGTAATTTGTTCCATCATGAATATCTTCGACCCCACATGCATTTACAATTTCTTCACGTGTAATTGCAGGGCATTTTATCCCTCCAACAACAAACCTAAATTCAGCCATGGCACGATGATATTGTGCACCTCCATATAGACGCATACCTGCATTCTAAACATAATAGGACAAAACAACTTCACATGTCTACTCTCTACTCTCTACTGTCTACTCTGTCTACTGTTTACTGTCTACTGTCTATTGTCTGCTGTTTGTTGTCTACTTTGTCTGTTGTCTACTGTCTACTTGTCTACTCTGTCTATTGTCTGCTGTCTGCTTTGTCTGTTGTCTACTATCTTTGTCTGCTGTTTATTGTCTACTGTCTACTCTGTCTACTATCTCTGTCTACTGTCTACTCTGTCTACTATCTCTGTCTACTGTCTACTCTGTCTACTATCTCTGTCTACTGTCTACTATCTCTGTCTACTGTCTACTATCTCTGTCTACTGTCTGCTTTGTCTGTTGTCTACTGTCTACTATCTCTGTCTACTGTTTATTGTTTGTTGTCTACTGTCTACTGGTTGTTGTCTACTGTCTACTGTCTACTCTTTACTTGTCTACTCTGTCTACAGTCTACAGTTTACTCAGTCTACTTTGTCTACTCTGTCTACTCTGTCTACAGTCTACAATTTCGTCTGTCTACTCTCTACTGTCTACTGTATGTTATCTGTTGTCTAGTGGGACATAAATTGCAGGCTTTTTGTCAGAACCAAAAAGGTGGAACAAGATGGGACAGGGACTCAGTGAGTGTTGATCTCTTGTATGTGGAAAAGACGTGAATGCCCTTCTCATCCTAATCATGGATAATAGCCTACAATGCTAAAGGTGATATGGGAATGTAGATTGTAAAAAGCTTACAGGTATTAGTTTGTGTGGGAACTGAGAGCCATCAATACCGATTAATGCCCCTCCATTAACCCTCTCATCTTGTAGTGTTTCCCCTACAAACAAAGCAAAGAAGTAGAATGTAAAATAAAAGTCAAAAATTAGTATTCAAAATGTTTGTGGATTAAGAGGTAAAGAAGGAAAGTTTAGCAAGATGAAGATGATTTACCAAATTTATCTGGAGGTGCAACAACTGTCCCTTTCAATAGCAGTGATAACTACAAAACAGAAACGAGATTAAAACACCAAAGATTAGTTACCTAAAAATATTTTTTTTTCATTGAAATATTGGTTAAAACTTAAAATTTAAAAGTTAAAACAAGAAACACTAAAGAAAAATATGAAACCTTGGTAAGGAAAAGATCATGAAAAGATCTTCCTTTCTCCTTTAGTTTGACTTCATCTAAAGTGCTAGGAAAACACCAAAAACAAATTTTAGTAGATTTTTTCATTTAAATAATTTCAAAAAAGAAAAAGGTGATAACTGCAAACCTGAGTTCTTGATTTATGTCATTTAGCTTTCGTGTTGTACCACGATACTCTTTTTCAAGAAGAGGAATGATCATAGGAACATTATCCATATACCTTAAACAAAATAAAGCTCAAAATTTTTAATTACAAAGAAAAAGTTGATTAATTTGACTTTAGACTATAATAAAGATTCTACCTTTTTTGCAGCAATTCTTCCAAGAATGACTTAAGGCTGCTCAATCCTATTCTGCTTCTTTCTTGCTTTGATAATGTCCTACCAAGCTTCTCCTCTAAAGATGCCACATCTTCCATCTCTCTTAGAGAAATAGCCTACAACAATTTATAGGTACATTATGAGGAGGGCATTTAAGTCTTTTGCATAACAAACAGGACCTAAATATATTAAATTATTAATATATTATACCTGTTTAAACTCATCATTGGATCTATAAACCGATTCATGTCCTGATCCAACTCTTCCAGAAGGCACAGAAGTGAAAAAAGGTGAATCACCAAGCATGAAACCATCAAGAACAGATGCAGGTGGTGAAAGGAAAACTTCAACATCTGAAGCACGTGCAAATTGAGGGATCTTTGTATCAAGCTTAGTTGACACAACCACAGTTCTTGAAAGTTCAGGATCAATCTGCAAAATGCAATTCACTCATGATACTATTTAGTATCTTCAATGAAATGATAATAATTAATAACACCCCTAATCCCTTTTATAAAATTTAAAACACATACTTGCATTACTACCCTCCTAGTAGTAGCATTGCTCCAGTCATTACAATCTTCAAGGCATAGTACAATGAACTCCTTATGCTGCATTTTTGCCCTCACTAGTGACTCAACAGCACGAGATTGAGCCTGTAAATTAGGGTTTTTGAAACTTCATTGTCAGCAACTCTATCTTTAATGGAAGTACTAAATCGGTAAATCTTGAAAAAAATTTAGTTTTATTATGAATAAAGTATAAACAACCTGTAAAGCTCGATTTTTTCGTCCAGGAGCAGGAGCAATGAGGCCAGGAGTGTCTATAATGGTGAGATTTGGGCAGTATTTGTATTCCACTCTAATGATTATCTCCTTTGAAGAAAATTGAACAGTTTCACGCTCCAATCTCATGTTTTCAGCTTCAATGTATTCCTATGTAATGTAAAGTAACAATTGGTCACGTTTTAGTCTGATTATAATCAGAAAAATTGTGAAAATGGGACAAGTATTAAGAAGGGAACTTGAATTCCATGGAGAGTTTGAATATTCAACCATGATTCATGTCTGGGAATTTGATTATATCAATCAAAAAGGACTTAAAAGATAGTGATCGCTTTGTCTGTTATTAGGTTATATACTTCTTTAGAAAAGGACAAATAAGAACTACGTCCTCAACATATTTCTTTATTGGTCCGTGATACATTTCTAACTCTTGTTGATAGATTAACATGGATCTTCCATTTTCAGAACTTCAATCAAACAAGCAATTAAGCAAACACATTTTTTTACCATAAGACAAATGAAAAAAGAAGGTGCTAAGAAATGGGTTTAGTTAACATGTACCTGAATTTCTCGGAGTGATTTCTCTTGGGGAACGCACGAATCAGAATCGGATATAAGGTGACAAAGAGGGGAGTCACATTCAGGGTTAAACCTCATGTGGAGAGTAATAGGACGACGGGTTTTAGTGCCACCGCCTACATGGTTGAATTGGAATCCCATTAGGGCTTCCACGAGGGCGCTCTTACCATCTGTTTGATGTCCGACGACTAGCACCGCCGGAGCATCAAACGGTGTCTGGAACTCTTGTGCTAGTCCGTGCAGCTCGTTGTAAGCCTCGTATAACCTGGACTGGCTTTCCCATTCGCCGCCGTTCTCCGCCTGCTTCGGCGTCGACATTTGAGAAGAAGGTGTGAGTCGTACGTGGAGCCTGTGTGTGTAGTGGGTTTTGACCTTTTTCGAATTAAAGAGTTTATTTAATTGGACTATTGGAGTGTGTGGCGTTCAAAATTAATTTTATCTTCGTTTTTTCTTTCCCTCCCTTTTCCGGTTTTCCCCCTTTGTCTTCTTCAATAAATTAGAAAAAAACAAATTAATATAAATTTAATTGATTTTTTTTCAAAGTACTTTAGTATTTAAGAAGTTTAAAAATTTATAAATGTGCCATTCATTTATTATTAACTTATAGAATAAATTTATATTTTGAAATTGCATCACTCTTCCGTAAAATAAGGACTTTGTCTAGTATCAATTGTCTATTGGAAACGTGATTACATCATCATGTGGCCAATATTCCTATATGTGTTATTAATAAAAGAATATTTACTGAGATAATTGTAAATTTTAATTATAAAAATTAAGTGTAAGTTGGTCGATCACCGAGAAATTTAAGAGAATAAAGATTGTGATGGTTTTAAAATATCTAAATAAGGCAATCGACGACTACATCAAGAAGCATGGAGACTCTTATGGTTGATGGAGCGAAGAGAAATCTTCTTTTTATTAATTCTTTTATCTCTCATATTTTCTAGTATTAGTAGTTCCAATTCCCTTCCCCTTCCAAAAAAAAGATATTAAAAATAAAAATATGATAAACACAAGAATTGAACTTGGTGGTTACTTTTGTGAAATGATATGTTAATGATTTTTATGATTCTAGGTTGAGATTTTATATTTGATATGTTAATGACTATATATATTGCCATACTCAAATGAATAATTGGTAGACAAACTATACTACTCATACACGATTACACGCACTCATATTGTGACATACATACTCAAATTAGGAAGTGGCCATTGCTTAATAATCATCATGTCAATCATTAGTAGGTGTGTAACAGTGTACAAATAGTATAGTTTCTCTATAAATTATGTAGTCGTTCAATATAAAGTCGTATAATAGCTTTATTGACTAATCCTACGCTCATAAAACCTATTTATTTTAGGTTTTTAGATGTTTGCAACACAATTTGGGTAAGAAAGAAAATGAAAATTAATTTTGCAAAGGTTCAAAGTTTATAAATAGAGTCCACAAAGGGGACTTCATTAAACCACCACTCAAAGCAGATAAAACATAAACTCCATCAAATTCATGTTACACAACTTTTGATTTTTCAACAGTAGAAATCTCTTCCATTACTTGAGTTTCTCAAATAGCTTAGGTGCAACCTATAATCCACATGAGTTTTCAATATTAGATGATTAAAAAATAAAAATCTTTACATGTAAAACAAATCAAATAATGAAGAAGGGGCAAAATGGGAAACTTACACATTTGTCAACACACTGCCAATAATCAAAATACTGCCCCGTGCAATGCTTGTGCCCACTTTCATCTGCCTCCACCCTTTTCACACATCCCTAAAAAAATGGCTAAATTGATAAAATGATAAAAGTACGTTCTGTTTTTATGTATTTTTTTTAAAAGTCAAAAAGTATAATTGTTTAATTATTACAAAAAGTGTTTATGGGATTTGAAATTTAAACAAATTTAATTTTGAGTTGAAAGGATATTAAAAGGAACCTGATATTCAAGCCAAGCTCTCACACATTTGGGCTTGCATGAATCTTCGAAGTACTTCTTTTGGTCAACTGGTTCTTCATCCGCCCTTGTAGAGAAGAAGAAAATTACACAAAAATGGAAAGCTTAAACATAAAATTATAGTGAATGTCAAATAAGTAGAACAAAAGTTTATCTCTAGATTCTAGAAACATTTTTTTGTGATTATATCTGTTGGCCATTGTAATCATTACAAGATTTTAGTCATGCTGATAAGTGTCCCTTGTAATCAACTATGTGCTCAATGCCAAAATCTATGCTTTGATACACAACAAACACATATTGCATATCTTTTGGCATATTGGGTCCAATGAGGCCACAAATCTTAAGAAGAAAAAAAGGGAGAACTCAAATGATTTGATCAGAGTGTGTTTCTCCAATTACAATATGTCAATCTCAATCATTACCCAGGCATATGAATCATCATCACATTAACTAGCAAACATTTTAGATCCAAAACTCATGTTTGATCTAGGGATTTGAGTTTCTAAATCTAGCAAACACGGGATATCATAAAATTACGAATACGCAAACTAACAAGTGCCACTGCTTCTAATGATAGCATCTCAGAGCAATAATACATGAATATTTCACTAGAAGAAACTTAAAATCACAATTCATTAAATCGGTGATTACTCACATAGGTTATTAAGGAATACGATTAAGCGAGGACTTGTAAACAACCCGTTCAATCGAGCCAAACTGCACAGAATCCAATTTCAGAATACGAATTCATAAATCCTGTTTGTTGAAAATCCGTATGAACAGATCGAAGAACGAAGAAACATAGATTTATTACGATCTATTTTGGGGAACACATTGACTTAAATGGAAAATTTGAGGAAGAAAGATGACTATACCGTATGAGGGTTTGAAGCCGCAGTGAAATGGAAGAGAGAAGACACACGAAAGGCCTTTTACTATGTTGACTTGCCCGGCTGCCCCGATCCCAATTTATTTATATAAATGCAACTTACTAAAATATTTAATTAAATGGTTTTCTATATTTATATAACCATATATCAATTTTATCACTAAAAATTTATCAATTTGTACATGTGTAAATTACTTTGTAACTCATTTTATTATATATAATTGGCTAATTTCTAAAAGATTATATATTTTATTGTATTATATGAATTGAAAATTTAATAAATTTGTTGCATGTGTGTGTTATAGAAACAGCAGAAAATAGAGACAATTATGTAGAAGAGTTATTAAATTGTTCTGTTAAAAGTAATTGTATCATTAGGCTAAACGGAATGCATCCAAAGCATTTATGCATGAAAGTGTGTCACATCATTCCACCTTCAAGTCACAAACCTTAGGAAATAGTATTCTAGTAGTAAGTTGCTAGTGAATGAGGAGAAGAAGAGTGAGATAGGGGGAGGGAAGGGGAATGAGAGAGATTGTGACCAAGCGTAGCCATAGCCACGGAAGCTCACACTTAAGTAATATAGGGGTAGTGTTGGCATGCATTTTACGCGTGTCAAGTCACGTAACACGTAAGGGGATACTCCATTTCATATAGTCTTACTGAAATATTAACTAAACTTGAATGTCATGACCTTTAATTTTAATAAAAATATAGATTATTAACTAAAAATTACAATGTTTGTAATAAAAACAAAATAAAAATCAAACTTAATTATAATTCATCTTTATCGTACAATACTAAATCAAAACTATATTTAGGTTCTTAGGTATAACTATCTCCACACCAGTTTTTGCTACATCATTTGTCATGTTATTCTCCACATTATTTCATTTTTACTAGGAAATACTCACCACACCACTTTAATATTCATTTTAAATGTATACAAAAATAAATTAAATGAAGAAACATGGCCACGTGGGCTCTTCGGATTGAGTTTTGGTCCTCCACTAAGCGTTGCCTCTCGTTGTCATATCCACGGCAAGAAACATGGTTAAAAGGGGCGGTGTTCCGGTGGCCTCAACGACGTGGAGGGAGGCCACCTCAGCCTCCTCCACGACGTTTAAATCTCATGCCCAGCAACCTTAAGAGTCAATTACATGCTTGGTCCCATAGTCACAGTCAAAAGTATATCTACAAATGTCATGAATCGCGGTTGAAAGTCACGATTGTGGCTAGGAGTGAAAAATGATTATCCACAACATTGTGGCGGGTTCGCATTAACTATAAAGTTTTATGATAAGCAATATTTTTGAAAAATTAGCACCCAATGGCATTTGAAGACAAGTTCAAATTGAAGACCAATAAATTGTAACTGGTACCATGAAAGTATTTCGACGAATTGTTGAAAATAACAGAAAAAACAAGTGTTACAAGTGCAATTTGTAATGCTTCATATGAAGAAAGAGATATATTTTATGACGACAACACAAACAAATGTGGTGAAAATGGAAGGACTTGATTGGTGGTCAATGGTCAAGTTATGGATTGGAAACTCCGGTTGCCAAAAAGGTACTTTCTCAAACTATCAGCGGCTCTTCGGTAGAAAGAAAATAGAGCACTTATTATTATATCCATAAAGCTAACCGGAGTGGTCACGCCGGAAAAGGCGTGGTCTCCAGCCACCGCAGCAGAACGCCCCACCACCACCAGGGTGGTCTTGACGCTGCTGGGGAAGAGAGAAATAGAGAAAGAAGAGAGAAATAGAGATAGGAAGAAGAGAAAGACAGAGAGGGAAGTTGCGTGGTTCAGTAGAAGGAACCACAGCCGACCACAATAACACCGTTGACGCTCCTTTTGGGTTGGTATTCGCGCTCTTGATGCCAGGCACATTAGCACCACACCCTTAGCGTGGTATGTATTCTGATCAGCCTAATGTGAAGAGAAATCGGTTGAAATCCAAAAAAGCGGACAAACTAGTTTTCATTCATTCCAATATTCGGCTCCAATCTCGATTTTCGAAAACATTTAAATTCGGACTACACAAAAAGCAGGATAGAATCCAAAAAAGCATCATCGACCATGCGAATGGAGAAAAACCAATGATAGAATAGGTTATTGTATTTAGTATTTACTGTTATGATCATAGTTTTTTAAAGTATTTTGGAGTTGTTTTTTAAAATTATGTAGGGTACATCATACTACATTATACGTGGAGCAGTCCAGATCGAGTAACAAAAGCCAAAACCACATCCCAATAATCGATTTCTAGTAAAACAGTTAAAATTCTCAAAACGAAACAAATTTGAAAAATAAATGGTTAAACCTGTTAAAATTTTTGAGCCATCCAAATGAAACAATTGTTAAACTTAATTACTGTTCGGTAAACCGAATCATATTGACAAATCAACCGGTCAATTTTATAATGTCAATCAAAGGATTTTGCCATGGAGATGCTACTTATTCAACTACAAATCCATGACTATGAATCCATAAGTCCATGAACATGTCCATGAGAATTTACTTCTAACAAACCAAAGAGCAACATGTAATTTTTATGTCCCGAAAAGTCCTTTTTTTTCACTTGAGTTTATCGAACAGCTTAGGTGAAACCTGCAACCAACAACCAGATCTGTCAGTATGGGAGTTTCAATTCCAATACAGATTGTGCTTTATTTATGGGCAATGGGCTTTTATGACAACCACTTAGCAGACCGCTGTATGTGTATCTGATTTACATCTCACATGATTCTTAACTGCAGACAGGTGTTGGTGTGGGCCACAAAGGGGTCCCCAGTCCCACAACCAACATGCAAGATGTCAAATCACATTATCTCCATGTGATGTGATGTCAGTCTGGGACATTAGTTATGGATTCTCACCTTCTTACTGATAATAAAAAATTATTTTATAAAAGTGGGAAAGTTAGTGAAGCTTACAGCTCTATCGATACAATGCCAGTAATCAAAGTATTGTCCAGTGCAATGTTTTTCTCCACTTTGATCTCCCTCTACCCTTTTCACACATGCCTGTAGATTTTAATGGACTAAATTAATAATCGTGTTACCAATATTCATATAAATCCTTTGTGAAAAATATACTAAAACCGTAAAAAATCATAAACCCTAGGTTGTGGAATCGGTTGTGACAATCACCTAAAACTCATAATTAATGAGCTATCTTGACTTTTTTCACAAGTTAGCAATCTAATAAAAACAGCACAATTTGAGGTAATATACAGTTTTAGGATTATATTGATGTAGAATGGTATGTAAAGAAGGTATGAGTGATAAAGCACCTGATACTCAATGAGAGGTCTAACACACTTGGGCTTGGAAGAGTCTTCAAGGTACTTCTTTTGGTCAACTGGTTCCACATCACCCCTTTATAAAAGAAGAAAATGAACCATTAGTGGACAGAATGATGATTTCATTTGATGAAGGATCAAAGATATTGCGAAGTATACAAGTAGAAATCTTTTATCCTTTGTAACTTGTTGATGCAAGATCCAAAAACTTGAACTTTCAGATAATGTTTCTTTCAGAAGAGTAACAGGAATGCATTAGAATGTGACCTTAAACACATTTGATTGAAGTATTAAAAGTTCTATGCATCTTTTCATATGTAAAATCTGGAGGTCCTATATTCATTGCACAGCTTATTCAAAATAAATTAAATCAAGAACAGAAGGATGATAGGTAATATGTATGAAGAGCTATCATTCATTTTGCCTCCTGGGGAAGATAGAATATGATTTTGCGTTTCTTTTGAACGAATTCCAAGATCTGATGCATAAAGCCAATGATTCTGGAGCAGCTCCTTTACTACTGACTCCAAATAATGGCATGTGAACGAATTAACGCACGGATCCTTTGACATTTTTCTCTATGAGATAAAATTGATGAACACTTCGAAGATATCATTATGTTATGTTTGTGTATATGTGATTGTGTATGCAAGAAACAACATCTAATGATACTTACATCTTCGGAGCAAATGCACTTTACGAACACTTCAAAACAACGTTCCTTGATGAAATGACCTGGAAATGCATCGATTATCAATACAACACTTTCATTTATGTGTCTGAAACCCTAATTTTCAATCAAACGACCAAATTACAAATTCTATGAATAACTTCGATATGAGAAATCAATAACCGTACCTTGAAGAAAACGCAGGAAGAACGCCAAAGCAAAGGGGAGAAGTATTATATTCGTTGGGTGGAGGACCGATTCAATAGCGAGAACATTGGTGGCTCACTCGAGCTTTGACGCCCCGATAAACTGGGGAGAGACATAAATTATCCTCGTGTTATGAAATCAGCCAATTTGGTCCTTACAGAAAAAAATTTACTCACACAGCTCTATGAATTAGTTTTAGACAAAATTGCAAAAATGGTCCCTGTGGTATGCAAAATTTTGGGGTTTTAGTCCAAACCACGAGTT